ACAATTTTGCTTTGTCTCCCAGAAATTTAACAGAAAATAGATACAACCCCTGCTGCTTTACACTGTTATACTAACAAAAGGAGCTACAAAAATAGATGCAATCAGTATTTATGATAAAAACATACTTGTGGCTAATCTAATGGCTAATGCCACAAGCCATTGCTTTACTCTAATGCTATATCCCAGTGAATTGCTAATGTTAATCATCTGGGAAGAGCAAGAAGACAGCATGAAAAAGTGCTGAAGTGCTTCTTTCCTAACTGCAGAAACTGCAAGAAAACAAACCAGAAATGATCATTTATGCCCTACGATGTCATTGTATCGGTTGTGCATTCAGACCGCGATTGGTTTTGACAGGTACCACAAGTGTTTTTGCAGCACCACAGGATGTTATTTTGGACTTAATTATTACCGGAGCCTGCGGCTCCTCTTTTAGGTAAATGCCAGACTGCCAGACCACACAAAAAGGGCCCTTGGCGTTCACTCTCCGGCTGTTTCGTGTTATTTTGCTCAAATGTTCAGTTTCTTATCTCTTACTGACACATTCCCTAACCAAATTTAAGAAAATACTTGGTGGTTACTGGCCCTGGCCTGGGAGGTGGTAAAAAGTGACTGAAGCTCCTCAAGAGTGAAGTGGTATCCTCTATTTTGTGAGTGCCAACTCCATGGCAGCTGTTTACATTTGTTAGCAAGACGCCTTTTAGTTTTTGAAAGCAAGCAAAACTCCTGCCTTTGTGCAGCACTCTGTCCTGTTGGTGTGGCCAGAGCTCTTGGAAGTATCTTCCAAATCCAGGTGTTCCACGGACGTGGGCAGGGAGCACCTGGGACCCGCCTGAGCTCTGGCGGGAACAACCTGTGGCTGCGACTGCGGCTGCCATCGCCTGCACAACAGCAGACAGGCAGGGCCTGGGTAGCACTTGGGTCAGCCCTTAATCACAAAGCAGGGGGAGACTGGAGAGAACTGACTGAAACATAATGAAAACCATGGAAAAATGAGAACGGTTCTTTATATGCGAAATCAAAAAGGTGCAGTTCCGAGCCAGGGAGGACTGCAGATGCCCCTGTGCTGAAGGTAGCAATTAGAACTGAAAATAAGGAATCCCAAGAAGTGGAACTAGGTAAACATTCGTGGAGGGTGGGCTGGGAAGGGTAAAGTCTAGTAAGAGAAGATAAATTCATGCAACAATCCATGGATAAGGAGAATAAGTTTTAGAGTTCAAAAATAAAATAACTGCAGTAGTGTTACTGCCCCTTCACTAATGAGATGTTAAATATATTAATAATGATGCAGAAAAGGCAGAATTTTCCAGTTAAAATTTCTGCTTCCTATTTGAAAAGGTGGTGTACTGTGTGATGAAGTATTTTCTAGCCTGCTAGCAACTGAAGAGGCAAAGCATTGCTACAAGTATTTTTAAACCCAGCATATATTAAAGACAGCTGACCCAGCATATCTTTAGGTAACTCAAAGTGTCAATAGAGTTTGGGAAAACATAACTGTCACCTAGAAGGGAAACTAGAATCAATCAGGTATAAATACAGACCAATTTTCCAACATCCAAACCATGGTGCAGAATTTAAATTTATAGAAGACTAAAAGTTCAAAACGTAATTACCACTAGTTAACATCTTTTATGAAAAACAGGCTTTAGCAAACATTATTTTGCTCTTCAGTGAGGTATTTGGTTGATAAACCTAACTGAACAGACTTAGTACTTCCGTACGGTATCGTCGCAGCGAGTCAAACATCTTAACTCACAACTAGTATGATACTCTGTCAGTGAAATACACACTGGGTGTACAAACTGGCAGATTTCAGTGAGGAGCTTCCCCACTGGCTGCAAGTCAAGTGAGTTTTAGGGAGGTTGTACAGATTTGTGATAGGACTAACACACTTTAATGCTCTAATAAAATCATGCAAAAGGCAAAGCTGGGCAAAGCCATGCATTCTTACACAGAGCCAGAGTAATGCAAAACAACAGAAATGATGGAGCAGAGCTGACTTTCATTCATGTACATCTTGCTTCAGCATAGCAAAAGGCAAAAATATCCATATAGGAAAAAGAAATGTAGGCCATAAAATGGGAGACTGTCCTGGGCTCTCCAAGAAACTTTTATTCGGTTTTAATGCCCATTGTGGTGCTGTGGCAGCAGCAGCTAATAGGAATTGTGAATATATAAGCTGGAGCATGTAGAGTAAAAGAGAAGAGGTTGAAAAATCAGCAAAACTCCAGGAAGGAAACACAAAGGGGTGAAGAAAACATTCACAGCTGAAGACTAGAGAAGATCCATTTGTTTAGGCTATCAAAAAGAACTTGCCCAGAACTAAATAGAGCATATGTTCACACATTTTAATAATGACAGCTTATTCTTATTAGTAAGTACCCACACAAGCAGTAGATTTGTACTCTACTACAGTATTTACAACTAGGCAAATTCTTGAATGAAGAACTGAGCTCAGTCTGACTCAAAGATCTTTAGTTCAGTGCCAGATAACTTAGTTTTAAGACCTCCAATATTAGATCATCTAATGTAATCAGTCCCCTTTGACCATAAGGTGTCAGAAAGTAATGCTCTTTTTCCCCAAGCAGCATTTAGCCAATTTTCAAACAGGCATCTCCATTTATCAAGGAAAAGATAATGCAAAGAGCACGTAATAAGCTAGGTGATAAAGAACAGCATTCTAAAACTGCATGTAGAGCACCCCTACGCTACTTGCAACCATGAGCCGACCCTCTCAGAATTAAATCTCCATTTCCATCATCCCATTTACAGCTGTCAGTCTGAGATGAGACAAAACAGTTTCCATCCCCTCTCCACAAAGAGGACAGAAATCTCAACCCACTCTAATGGAGACAGAGGGGATGGTTCTTGAAGAAGGGGGCTTTTACCACTGAACCACTTGTGCTAAAGGCTAAGATCAGCTAAGTAGCACTGGGAATAAACAAGAGGAGCTGGAGACGCTCACATGCATGCATGGCTATGATCTTATTGGCAAATTGGAGACAGGATGGGATGGCTCTTGTGTCTGGAATGGAAGGACACAGGCTCTTTAGGAAGGACAGGCAGAGGAGACAAGGAGGGGGTAACAGCCTCCATGTCAGTGACCAACTGGAGTGCGTGGAGCTCTGCCTGGGGATGGATGAGGAGCTGACCGAGAGCCTATGGATCAGGATTAAAGGGAGGGCACGGACAGGTGACATTATAGTGGGGGTCTGCTACAGGCCACCTGAGCAGGAATACTAAGTGGATGAGGCCCTCTATAGACAGATAGGAGCAGCCTTACGTTCATAAGCCCTGGTCCACATGGGAGACTTCAACCACCTTGGTATCTCTTGGAGGGACAACACAACAGGGATTAAGCAATCCAGGAGGTTCCTGGAATGCATTGGTGGTAACTTCCTTCTCCAAGTGACAGAGGAGCTGATGAAGAGAGCTGCTATGCTGGACCTTGTTCTCACAAACAAGGAGGGGCTGGTGAAGTTCCCACTGACTGGAAAAGGAGAAACATAACCCACATTTTTAGAAAGGGAAAAAAACAAGACCCAGGGAATTATAGGCCAGTCAGTCTCACCTCTGTGCTCAGCAAGATCATGGAGTGGATCCTCCCAGAAGCCATGCTAAGGCACATGGAAAATAAGGAGGTGATTGGTGACAGCCAACGTGGCTGCACTACGGGCAAATCATACCTGAAAAAATAGGTGGCCTTCTACAGTAGGATTACAGCACTGGTGGATAGGGGAACAGCAACTGATGTCATCTAACTGGACTTGTGCAAAGCATTTGATGGTGTCCTGCATGACATCCTTGTCTCTGAACTGGAGAGACATGGATTTGCTGGATGGACCATTCTGTGGATAAGGAATTGGCTGATGGTCACACTCTTAAGTGTTGCAGTCAATGGCTCAATGCCCAAGTGGAGAGCAGTGACAAGTGCCGTTCCTCGGGGGTCATTGTTGGGATCAGCGCTGTTCAACATCTTTGTTGTCAACACGGACAGTGGGATTGAGTGCACCCTCAGCAAGTTTGCTTACAACACCAAGCTGTGTGGTGCCGTTGACACTCTGATGTCATCCAGACTGACCCTGACAGGCCTGAGAGGTGGGTTTGTGCAAGCCTCATGAAGTACAACACGACCAAGTGCAAGGTACGGCACATGGGTCAAGACAATCCCAAGCACAAGTACAGGCTGGACAGAGAATGGATTAAGAGCAGCCCTGCAGAGAATTTGGGGGTGTTGGTGGGTGGAAAACCAAGTGTGACCCAGAATGTGCACCCACAGCCCAGAAAAGCCAACCGTACGCTGGGCTGCATGATGAGAAGTGTGGCCACCAGGTTGCTTCTCCCCCTGTACTCTGGTCTTGTGAGACCGCACCTGCAGTGCTGTGTCCAGCTCTGGGGCCCCCAACATAAGGACATGGCCCTGCTCAAGCACATCAGAGGGCTGGAGCACCTCTCCTGACTGACTAACACTGTTCAGCCTGGAGAAGAGAGGGTTCTAGGGAAACCTTACAGTGGCCTCCCAGTACTTAAAGGGGGTCTACAGGAAAAATGGGGAGGGACTCCTTACCAGGGAGTGTAGCGATATACACTGGGTTTCCCAGAGAAGCTGTGGCTGCCCCCTCCCTGGCAGTGTTCAAGGCCAGGTTGGACGGGGCTTTGAGCAACCTGGGCTAGTGGAAGGTGTCCCTGCCCATGGCAGGGGGTTGGAACTACATGATCTTTAAGGTCCTTTCCAACACAAACCATTCTGTGATTCTAAGCACTGATCTCCTCGGAGGTGGCTGTACATTTCATAAATGGTTCATGAACTGCAAAGCTCTTCTAGCACTTTTAAGACACTAATGTTTAAATACATAAAGAAATCCAAGCCCTTATATATCTCACGCTGTGTACATCATCCTGAGTGCTAATTTCACATCACTGTACTTGTATTTATACTAGCATAGTGTAAACAGCATTAAAGATCAAGTGCACAGCAAGCAAGTTAACAGCTCCAAAACTCGAGTTGCAGCATCATGTTTATTTACATAACATCCCTCAGAAAATTAAACACAAGCATGACAGAAACAAGAAACAAAAACAACAAATCCAGGTGAGATATTTCTGTACATTATATTTTTCAACAACCAGAAATATTTTATTATCAATACAGACACATTTATACATTAAAAATCTATACAACGTCCTTTTCTCTCCCAGTCTCCGAAACGTGTAGGTTCGGGGCCTTTAGGACCACCCCTCTCTTTTGTAGCAGGATTGATTCCATCAGGGAATTCTAAAATGACAGGTAAAGTTCATTAAAACGCCCATAACGTTGACAATGTTTGCCTCTTAATTTAATTTTCAAAATCAATTCTCTTTTGTTTTCAAAGGCAACCTTGAGTTAAAGCATTTCCCAGAGTCATACAAAAGTAATTTCAGAGTTTGACTACAGTCAGCAAAACATATGATCGATCATATTCAGTTATGCAAATAAAAACGCAACTCCATGTCCAAAGGCTCTAAAGCACCCCAGCTTCTCATGAATTCACAGTGAGAACTTGCATCACTCAGGTACGCTCTACAGATAGATGTTCCCTACGTCTAAACCACCAAGTCAATTTCTGTGTTTGTAATTTTAAGCACTCAGGTTTTAATCTTAGCTTGCATTTTAGTCAAGATTCTATTATTGTATTTAAAACACCATGCTTTCATGGATGCTGGTATGTTTGTCAAGAAATAGCATGTTGATACCTCAACACCAGCCTACATACCACAGTCATAGGAGGTACTATAAAATCCTGAATAGCTAAAATTAGACTTTTTACCTTCTAAAACTTAACCTGAGCTCACTAAGCTACTGTGACACCCTTTCAGGAGAGGGAGACTCCTTAAGTGGGGTGTGAACAGCACTTTCAGATCCCTTTGGTAAGCGACGTGCCACGCTTACCCATTAGCAGTGCTGCTTCTGCTGCCAGCACCCTACACCAGCTAGTGCCACCTACTCGGGCACCACGTAGCTTTCTGCACCTCACGGCCAACACCCTGACACCACTCATGCACCCTTACTCAGGGACATTTCTTAAGAGTAGTAACTCAGGCCACCCATGCTGTACAATGGCCATCCCCCCTCTGTGGCCACTGAGAAGCTACAAAGCACTTTTTGGCACAGCGCCGTCCCAGGTGGAGTGTTTTCTCACCCTGCACTAGCCTGCAGGGCTCCCCGAAGCTCACTGTACCCCACACATCCCATGCTGCTTCTTCGGAGCCTCCCATCTATATGGTAACTCAGGGCTCCCTGAGTCATATCCCCATCTCAGCCCTGGTGAGCAACACAAGTGATTGAGGAGCCGGGTTGAAAATGAGAAACGACAACAGAAATCTTTGGAGTGCAGACAAAAAGGACAGTGATGGAGGGAGACTCACACAGCTACAAGCTATACACAAAGACATATTGGGATGCCTGTTTAAAAATTCATGTAGATCAGGATAGGAAATGTCAGCATTTGAGCCCCTCTGGCAATACAAGGAGTGCAAATGCATCTAATATTATTTTTTAGATGTCATCAGTCCAATATCCAAGCACTACTGATGTGCTGACAGTGGATGCAGAAGCTCAAAAGATTTCTCCATCATAGCTACATAGCCATGGGAATTCAAATAACCAACTTAAACTCTGATGTTTTTTTCCTAGTAAGACAATGGGCAGTCAGCATTCTAACAAACTATTGTTAGTGTTACATGTAAAAAATATACAGGTACAACTAAATTTAAAGGCAAAAAAAACCCCTTGAGTCTTGCTCTAAACCTAGAGCACTGAAGCAAAAAGCAAAAGATAATTATTATGCATTTGTTTTAAATGAAGCAGGGATGGAGCTTATTTTCTTGGGAATAAAAGGACAAAAATTAAATAGCTGCTTGAGCAGTAACTTCAAACTCTGAGTCAGTTTTCAAGTGAGTCACAATCTCAAATTGCTTGCAACCATTCTGGAGATGATACTGTAATTTTTCAGTCACTTTGTCATCTGGATATTCATAATAATCTATTGATATATTAAAGAAAAATTGTCCTAGAGACCTTGAAATAGATAAACATAAGTTATCACTACTGGTAAACAGTAACTACAGTGAATAAGATAAAGCATGACTAGCACTTTTAGCGAAGGGAAGATGGCTAATTAAAAAGGAGGAAAGAGATTCTGTCTTTCTCCCCTCTGACAAAAGAAGTGCGTGTTTCTAGTGACTTTAACTGTGATATATCTGTGACTCCATCTTGTTAGGCTCTCTAAATACAGCCCCACAGAGGTCACTGCAACGCAATGAGAATAGCAGATCATCTGGCTTCCCTGGACCCCACTGAGTGGCTCAGTAAACTCAGTATCCTGTTGCATTTCAAAACACTACCCACAAGACTAAGAGAAAGACCAATCCCGAAATACAGCATGAATCAGAAATCTTCTGTGGACTAAGAAACAGAACAGGCTGTTTTAATAATAAAAGGTATCTGGTGCCCTCATGAGTTTACTACCACCATTTTTAGTTGTATTTAATAGACCAATACCAGCTATATTTCCCCTAATCATGCAACGTTTATGGTGGAAGGCACGTTCGGCAGACATCTGGCCCCAACCCTGCTCAAAGCAAGGCCAGTATTAAGTCAGGATATCCAGGAAAATTTGAGTATCTCCAAGGGGAAAGGGATCACTGATTCTCTGGGTGACTTGTTACAATGTTTGACCACCCTTGTTCTGCAGACTCTCCCTCATTTGCTGCAACTTCTGCCCATTGCCCTGCCTGTTTTCCTCAGAACCATTAAGCTCAGAAAGTGATTCTGATGAGTGCAGAATGCCTATACCTCTTCTTAAACTGACATCAGCACTGAATTTCAGGGGCTGGCCTTTAAATCATGGCTTTCAATTGTTGGAAAACATGACTTACTTTCCAGGGGTTCCCTCTCTACATTGGACTCCTCTGGTTCATCAAATCGACCTACTGGTAACTTCGGTTTCTTAAGTGACTGTTTAGCAGGTTCAGATCTTCCTCCTGTCTTAGAGCTGGTGCTCCTCAGAGAGCTGCAAAGCAGTGACGACCCTATCAAACAAATAGACATGTGTAGCATAAACGTGAGACTTTAATACTCAGTAGCTCCATGACTTCAGAGCAACGCTGAAAACCCCTCACTTCAGAAACGAGGGAGCAGAAGACAGGAAAAGAAACTCCACGTATTAGCTTAACATTCAACTCACGAACACCTATGGAATCGCCACAGATAATTATTTTTGGCCCTAGAAACATACGCAGGCAAAACTGTGTTAGTTGTATAACTCAGTTCACATAAACAATGTTATTTTAAACTGCTTGAACTTATCTTCACTGTTATCTCCTTATATTTTTGCTTCTAAATAGTAATTATAAAACAGACCAGTACATTCTGTTTTCCTGGAGAAGTCCTAACCTCCCCCAGGAAGCCTGATGATTTCCAGGTCTTGGCTCATTTCCAGCAGTTTTTGAGCCAGAAAAAGCTTCCAGTTTTCCAAAGGAAAGTTTTAAAAAATAAAACGTTGTTCCCTGTTCCCTTAGTAACAGGTTTTCCAGAATGCTGGTAGAGAATAGTTGGGCTTCCCTTATGATGGTAAAATAATTCAACTGGTAGCCAAAAGCAGGACAAACTTTGAGCACATTTAAGTTCAATTATGTAACTGCATGCAAATGCTTTAAATAAAAGCATAAACTTTTTTTCCTTTAAAGTCCTACTAACATTTGTTAATGTAAATGTAGGAGAAAACCTATTAATATCCATACCTAAAGTTCTTTCAAGTAGTATAAAAAGAGGTGCATAGATATCATGTCATAAATAATTCAAGAGTCATAAACAAGTCTAAAATTACGTATGAAGATCTCTCAAAAGGACCGGTATTTCTGCATTTGGTTAAAAAGCCAAATGTCCGCAGTGAACATAACTACCCTCTAAAAATATTTTAGCTATGGCTACGTGCCTAAAGCAGCTCTGACTTAAGAAGGAAGATTCAAACATAAATCTTCCCTGTACCAGTGTGGGTGCAAAGTACTTGAAAGAACTACTATTCTACCTTGTTGGAGAGATCGTATCAGGAAGCCTCCTCAAGCAGTGTGGATTTGAACTCACCTATATATATATATATATATATATATATTGTTGGAGAGGTATTATTTCTCATAAAAAAATATTTGAAAACAGAGAATGGAAGAATGGAGGTAATATTTTTACACTTTCAATGACATATAGAGCATTAAATTTTATTTAATGATATTTAATTTTTTTTTTCCACTACTTTGCAGTGAATTTGGATTGCAGCATACAAGCTTTTAGCTTTGTTTCTGTGCCGATGTAAACTGATAGGAAAGCGTTTTTGAAAGTTAGTGCAGGTTGAAACTCATCATGAGCAACTGGTAAGTTCATGTTTACATTCTGGTTGTATAAACTCTTAATTGAAAAAACTAAACCATGACACTTTTATGTACATGCACACATATATAAATGAAGGTCAAATGAAAAGCCCTTAAAGAAGGGAAGGAGGGAAATACTGACATGTGCTTTTTAGTAACCCTGGCATGTAGTTATTTTCAGTGACACTTGTAACTCTTCTCTGAAATGACCATTTATTTATTTTTAAGAGAAGTGATGGGAGTTCTTTGTTTCAAGAATGGGGTTTTGTAGTTTTGTGTTCTTCCATGGGCTTCAATGCAGGTACTAGACTGGAGTATTGGAAGACAAAAGTATCACCATTTATGTGACGCATTTTCTTTGTGGGCACATTTCCATCCAGGACCACAGTAAAACTACTTGTATATATCACAGGCTGCTAAGTGGCAGATGCCAGATAATGATTCTCACTTGTAGCTGCTAGATTTGAACTGATAATTTAATCCTGTTCATATTTACAAAGTACCAAATCGTGTTTTTTTTAGAGCATGAGTGCTTTTTCATTGGCGTTGCAGATCTGAAAAAGGGAATGATGCACAAGACGGGGAAAATTTTACAAATTCAAAAGAACAAATTTATCTAACAGTTTCAGGCAAAATAGTGTCTAATGTTGTTTTGAATTTTATTTCTATAAGGAGTGTTCAGTTTTGTCATTTTAACTCTAATCATTTAATATAGTTTTATTCAAAGTGCAACTTAAAAT